GGGGCCCGTGCGCCGGCCCCTCCCGTCGCCTCGTCGCGGCGCCTTGGGGGCCCGCGCGTCCCCCCCTCCCGTCGCCTCGTCGCGGCACCTTGGGGGCCCGCGCGTTGCCCCCTCCCGTCGCCTCGTCGCGGCGCCTTGGGGGCCCGCGCGCCGCGCCCTCCCGTCGCCTCGTCGCGGCGTCTTGGGGGCCCGCGCGCGGCCCCTCCCGTTGCCCGTCGAGCCGCCCTCGGGGGCCCGTGCGCGGCCCCCCTCCCGTCACCCGCCGTGGCGCCCTCGGGGGGCCCGCGCCCTGCTCCTTCGTGGCGCCCAGGAGACCCCCCCGCCGCCTCCCTTTCCCTCCGTGAACCGCCCCTGCTGCTTCCCGCGCTCCTGCCTGCGTTAGGGTTTGGGGGTGGCGGGCATGGGGGTGACCGGTGTGGGTAACCTGCAGCTCCTCCTCCTCCTCCGTCTCCCACTGCTGCAGCTGCCACTGAGGGGGGTGGGTGTGTGGGAGCCGAGGGTTTAGGGTTTAAGGGGGGTGCCGTGGGAGTGGAGCTAGGGTTTCAGCAGGGGGTGTGTGAAAGAGGGGTGGGACAGTTGGGGGAGGTTGAGCGGAGGCTGCCGTCTTGTCGTCCGCAGCACCTGTAGTCCGGGGCGCTGTCCTGGTAGCCCAGAGAGCCTGCTGCGCCTGTCGCCCGTGGGTCCGTTGCTCCTGCCGCTCTTCGTAGCCGCCGAGCCAGTTACTCCAGTAGTCCGGGGCGCTGTCCCGGTAGCCACTATGCCAGCCGCTCCTGTTGCCCGTGTGTCTGCAGCTTCAGCCGTCGCCTCCTATCGTCTCTCCTCTTACAGTCCCGCCTCCTCCTCCTCACCTGCCCTTTGTGAATGCCTCTAGTTTTGCTTGCACTTGTGAACCTGCTCTATGCCTGCTTGCTGTGCTGATTATACCCCACTTTGTCTATGGGGGTGTGTCAGATTATAATGCTTGTCTAGCCTGCAGTGGAGTACTCTGTAGTGAGTACGGCCCCTTAGGGTTTCCTATTTGTATCCCAACTGTTGCTAGTCAAACCCCTCCTTTGTTCATTTCTCTCTTGCCTAGCTAGGCAAACCCTAGCTATGGCTCCTTACTCTCGCTACTATTCTGACAATATCTTCCAAAAAACGTACCCATAAACGACAGAGTGACTTTAAAAAACCACTCTGATTTTCAGAAAAAAACAAAGTAATTTTTGTTAAGATTAGGAGTAAAGTAGGAGGTTAGGAGAAGGAGCATAGCGAGAGTTACGGGAGAGGGTTTGGCCAAAGAGAGGTTGTTCACTATAGAAGGTCGTGAACATATAGGTGAGAGAGAGGGTGCACCACCAACAGATATGAATGCAATCTACACTACACTACTGTAGGCAGTTATACAAAATGTATACAAACATATTCGACACACCCCCTAACTGCCCACAGTAGAAACCACGTGCAGACAACACTCCCTGCAGGGGTGCACCAAGGCAGAGAGCAGCGGAAGGAGGAGAGGACAAGCGAGGAGGAGGAGAGAGGAAGAGAGAGGGAGAGAGGAGAGGAGGAGGTGGGCGGCGGTTGAAGCTGCTAGCACACTGGCTACTTGAGCAACTGGCTCACGGGCTACTGGGGTAACGGGCTAATACGCCTGGAGCATCCTGCTCGTACGGCTAGAGCAACTGACCCACGGGCGACTGGAGCAACGGGCCACTGGCGACTGGCGCTGCTGGCTTCACGACCCCCCCCCCCCCCCCCCCCCCCCCCAACCTCTCCAACCTCTCCCTACAACGGGGCTGGAGGAGCAAACGGAGAGGAGGGACGACTAAAGGAGAGGATAGAGGAGGAGGCGGCTGGAGGAGAAGAGAGAGGAGGATAATGTGGGCGCAGCGGAACGGAGAGAAGCATGAGGAGGAGGAGAGAAGTGGTGGCTGGAGGTGAGGAGAGGAGATGCAGTTGGGGGAGAGAAGGTGAGGAGGAGGTAGAGAGGCGATTGGAGCTGCAGGATCCCTCTCGCCACCCCCTCACCCTCCCCCCCACAGCGACAGGCGCGGAGCAAGGAGCTGGTCACCCCCGCCACCCCCTCATCCCCCTTCCCCCACGGCGGAAGCCGCGGAAGGGAGGGGTGGGGGGGGGGGGGGGGGGGGGGGGGGGGGCACACGCTGCAGCTGTTGCTCGCGCTCTGGCGTGGGGCGGGTGCTGCTGCTGGTCGCACAGGCGTGCGCTGGCGGGCTGCGCAATGGCGCATGCGCTGGCGCACACGTCGACGCACGCGCTTGCGTTGGCTGTTGGCGCACGCGCTGGCGCTGGCTGTTGGCGCTCGCGCTGGCGCTGGTCGCTGGCGCTCGCCCCGGTACTCGCGCTGGCGCTCGCGTTGGCGCTGGTCGCTGGCGCTCGCGCTGGTGGGTCCGACTGGGAGCTCGTTGGCGGGCTCGCCAGCGCGCTGGTAGGCGACGGGGCGAGCCACGAGGGCGAGGGGTGGGCCCATGGCGAGAAAATAAGAGGAGGCGGCCTAGGAAAGGCCTGCTCTGGATACCATGTTAAGATTAGGAGAAAAGTAGGAGGTTAGGAGAAGGAGCATAGCGAGAGTTACGGGAGAGGGTTTGGCCAAAGAGAGGTTGTTCACTATAGAAGGTCGTGAACATATAGGTGAGAGAGAGGGTGCACCACCAACAGATATGAATGCAATCTACACTACACTACTGTAGGCAGTTATACAAAATGTATACAAACATATTTGACAATTTTACTCTGATAAAATAAGCCTTGGTCAGATTCATAGTACACCACTATACTGATTTCTCAGTGTTGTTATGTCACTATATTCTGACTTTACAGTGCCAGAATTAGCCCTAAACTGATTTATCAATGTCGTCACGGGCAAAATGAATGACCTTTTTTCACGAAAATCTGTATCTCTTATACTCATAAAATATGACATGCCGTACGCAACAATCACGACTCAAACTATCAAGGACACAATGTGCATCATCACCACAACAACGCACAAAGAAAACTGCACAAAGACAAATTAACAACCTTGCCCCGGAACCTGCACTTTAAGGGCGTGTTCCTACGGCCTCTTATCAGGCGACCTCTTGTCAGACTTGTGGGGTGTAATTCGTTTTAGTGCGATAGAATGTTATTGCGTGTGTCTCAGTGCGGTGTGACGCAAATCTGACAAGAGGTTCGCCTGATAAGAGGCCGTAGGAACACGCCCTAACGGTACATTCCTGTATCGACACAAGTGTTTCAATGCCGTTCTTTTCGAGTCGCGTATAAATGTTTAGTCAACTTCGCGTCTCAAAGCGTGAATGTATCGTGACACTGTACGGCCAGGCGACATGTACAGTTGGGCGCGTCTTATTGGGTTACTCAAATGGCAGTACCACGCCAGATTCTTCAACCAACGGGCAGGGAGGGACACACAACAAATGTGAACATCTTCGCATAGAAAGAGATCTGGGTGGTGAGGTAGGAGGGGGTGTGGTCTCGGCGGGGATTTTCTGCGCGTGGCAATGATGACATGCAGGGTCGCTTTCAAGTCGTTTGTGGGCTCCCCGAGGCCTTTATGTTTTTGTTCCCGAGTGAATTTGGCATTGTGTGGGGTGTCCAGGTGCATGTGGTTTCGGCGGGGATTTTCTGCGCGTGGCAATGATGACATGCAGGGTCGCTTTCAAGTGACGGGTCATCTTGCAACTCGTCCGCGACGTCAGCGTGTTCCTCGCTGACCAATGTAAACTACAGCACTGGTCGCGTTAAGGTGACCCGCGTTTGTGACACAATACAGTTTATGCTGATTTTGGGCGTTACGAAGTAACTGGGACACTTGTGTCGATCCAGGAATGTACCCTTATTGTTATCGCAACAAACAAAAATCTACTCATGAAATGCCAGTTCAGTAACCCTCCATGGGCTCAGATGTAGCCAGCTCCTGACGCCATCAGCCATTGAGCCAATGCTCATGGATGAGATCGCACTAGAATGCGATCCAGAAGACCTTTGAGAATCCCTCCCACCGTGTCTAAACAGCACAGAAGAAATGTTCCTCGACGGCAGACCTCCGCTGCTTGCACTCTCTTCTTTCCTGATACTCTCCGAATCGTCCTCCTTGTCAGGGCAGTGCTTCTCAATGAGGGCACTGAGGCGGTATGCCACGTCCTTCATGCTGGGCCGCCGTGTGCCTGGAGACTTCATGCAGTCCAGAGCCAGGTCTGCAATGTCTACTATGGCCTCCCTGCTCACCGCTGGCATTTTGCTGTCTTTGAGGTCGTCCAGATGAAACGTCTCCATCTTCTTTCTTGCCTGGGCGAAAAAGGAGCATGTCAACGGGCAATGGCAGCAGTTTTCAGCACGAAACTATGATCAGTGTGCAGGCATAGAAGAACGACGTGAGAGACAGCTTTGATGGTGATGAACATACCCATTCTCTGATGTGAGCTTCATTGGTGTCTTGAGGTGACATTCCACTGAGCAACTCCATAAGCACGACGCCAAAGCTGCAAGCAGCCACGGAATTGGACAAAGAGGAATACGGCTGACAATTGTGACGCATAGTACAAGAAAGTAACTTGAAATCAGGATAGCGAAAGTATCGATGTCTTCATTGTGATGTACAAAAGAACAAGCATGCGAACCTGTTCACATCACTCTTGGCAGTGATGATGCTGGTTTGGTTGTAATCCGGGTCCACGTAACCCGGAGTGCCAGCCACTCGGGTGGCGTCAGATTCGCCATGAGTGAGAAGCTTCAGCAGCCCAAAGTCAGCCACCTTGGCTTGAAAGTCGGCAGTCACAAGGATGTTGGCTGGCTTGATGTCGCGGTGAATGATGGGTGTCTCAAACCCATGCAGATACGCCAGGCCCTCTGCCGTTCCTTGGGCTAGGCGCAACCTCTGGCGCAGCGAGAGCGGATCTGGATGGGAGATGATGAAAGCCGAGCATAATAAATCTTCGTGAATTAGTGGTGTCATGTTCTCAGGCAGACAGCACTTTCCCGGCAACCATTTTGATAAGCTATCAGAACTCACTCTTAGTCTTGTAGATATGGTACTCCAGGTCCCGGTTGCCCACAAACTCGTACACCAGGATCTGCTCCTGCTTGCCCGTCTCCACGTTCTGGTCCACGCAAAATCCCAGCAGGCGAACGAGATGTGTGTGGTGGAGAGAGGCCATGGCGCGCACCTGCAGGCAACAGGTGTTCCGCATGTACTTGGACATGGTAAGCACTGAATTCGCAGGTTTGCATTAAGAACAAAACACAAGAGATAACATGTGCTTTTTATGTTCCCATGTGTGGGAAAGGTATGCCTCACCTCCGTTTCAAACTCATTGGTCATGGATGGTGCGCACAAATTTGCATAGAAAAGAAGGCTTGCATAAAAGATATGGTTTGTGTAAAAACAATATGTATATTATAGCATGCTAAGTTTGTGATTGTACACCAAGTGTGGTGTACTGTCGATTTGGGAGTGTACCCAATTGTGGGTGTACACTTGTATTTGGGGTGCCAATCCACCCACTTGTGGTGGAGCCCCCAATTTACAAACAAGTGGGGTGGTTTGTCACAACCCCCATGGTACCTTCCACACTTGTTCCCAACCACCTCCTTCTATTTTTCCCTTCTCTTCATTCCTATGTACGCTTGTAATTCCTTCAATCAAACATCTTTCAGAAATTCTTTCAGTTTGCGTTTAAGAAACAAACGAGCGTTTCCCATGTGTGGAAGAGGCTGCTACAGAGAGGTATGCCTCACCTCCGTTTCAAAGTCATTGGTCATAACTTTGGAGCGCTTGATAGCCCACAACTGGCCCTGTGGCGAGTGGCCTTTGTAGACAATGCCAAAGCCACCCTTGCCCAGCACATTGTCGTCCGACCAGTTATTGGTGGCCTTCACCATCTGCTGCAGCGAGAACTGCTCGCACACATCCAGCCCCTCCCACTTCTCTGTGCACACACACATGGGAGAACAGGGGAGCAGAGGAGCGGGGCTGGGAAATAGGTGCAGCAAAAGGGGAGATGGAATGGAACCGAAGAAGGGTTGAGGGGCTCACTTGGTCGGCGGGGCCACAGCAGCCAAGCAACCACAGCAGCCAGCAGAGCGAAGCCAGCAAAGCAGCCCACAGCAATGGCCACTATGGCGCCCGTGGACAGGGAGGATACTGCCATGGCAGGGAAGGGTGAGAGGAGGGTTGGGAGGGCCGGATCGGGGACGGGGGGAATGAACAGGAGAGGGGGGGTTTACGAAGTGATTGAGGGGATGGGGAATGAGGGTGACAAAGGGAGAGATATGAGAATAATTCCATGAGATGGGATGGGGCAACACAAGAACATCTTCAAATGCCGCAACGAATTTCAGCAGGGCTCACCAGTGGTGGTGGTGGTGGTGGAGTTGACAATGGCACAGGTAGAGCCGTTGCCCGAGTCGACAGCAGAGTAGCCGGCGTCACAGAGGCAGGTGAAGTTGGTGGGGGAGGCGGGTGCAGGCGGCACACATGCCCCATGGCCGTCACACGGGCCGTTGTCCGTGATGCTGCAGAACGCCTGGCAGGCTGCCGTGCTGCGCTGGGTGGTGTTGGAGGAGCAGTACGCATCCGCGCTGAGCGTGAGGCAGTTGCCCGACAGACTCACCCTCGCCTCCTTGCCTGCCCCCGCCACCGAATAATCTCGGAAACCAGTGGCGGCAGCGTCGTTGCACTTGCCAGCAAACACATCAAAGGTATCCCCCATGCCCAGCTGGTTGGGCTCAGTGATCTCAGTGGGGCAGACCTTGCAGCCGGCAGCAAAGAGCACAGCATCACCGAAGAAGAAGTTGTGAGCCAAGTTGATGAGGGCACCGCCGTCCGCCACCATGTTCTTGAAGTCGCGGTTGATGCGCCCGTACAGGCTGTTGTTGCTCACATCGCTGTGAGGAACACGGGGGTCAGAACAGAGGACAAACATTGACTCTAAGTAATCCCACTCCCACATACCATATCACAGTGAACGCATGCCTCTTGCCACTCTTTGTGGTGGTGACCACATTGAGGGTGCAAGCTGCTCAGATTCAAGAAGCTGGGTTGACTCACATTTGGTTGACACATTTGTCAAAGAGGCAGTCTGGCAGGGGGCCGTAGAGGTAGTTGTTGCTCATCATGCTGCCAGCAGCACAACACATCATATCACAGCATTTGCCACATTTATTCCGAATGCCATAAGGAAGAATAGTTTCCTTACAATCCAACTCACGAGCGTAGTATGCACGCAAACTTCATTCTCAATCAAGGATATTCTACAGTTGTCTCTGCTACACAGTGGTTCAAAACCCTGATTAAACGTAATCTTTGAGAATCTGCCTTCGAATTTCTCATTCATGTATGACATACACTCGTATACGCCACAACCACTTACATGCGCCACAGCGCGGGCAGCGAGCACATGCTAGTTGGCAGAGGGCCCTCAATGTTGTTATTGTCCAGCCAGCTGCACGGGCACAGAGGTGCCAAAAGTGGCACAATGAACAAGATGGATAAAGGCTGGCACCGGGGACGTGTAGGTTTTTTGTTCTTCTCTTCCTTATTTTCAAGGGAGACACTACATTGCTGTTCAAGTGACCAAAATTGGCTTCATTTTCTTGTGCGGCCTACATGTTCAACAATGCCAAGCGTAATGAGGAAGGTAGATAGCACCCTCACATCTGTTCGAGCTTCTCCAGTCGACTGATGGCAGCTGGCAGACTGCCACTCAGCTTGTTGTTGGCCATGTAGCTGGAGGGTAATAACAAGGAGACGGGACATTTCAAACTAGAGGTTGGGCAAGAGCACTGAGGGCTGATGCGGGAAATTGCCATGGGGCAAAGCTGGGAACAATCGAAGGGCAGCTGATAAGGGGATGCAAACACTGAATGAGGACTTGAGGCTCACAGGTATTTCAGTTTCGTCATGCTGAAAATGGCAGCAGGGATAGTTCCTGTCAGCTGGTTGTTGTTGAGGGTGCTGCAGGGGCATGGGAAGAGAATTGCAGATGAAGTTCCTGCCTCTAGCACATGGGCACTGCGAGTGCATGTGTTTCGACTGGTAGCTCTCTCCCACCAGTCCAGGTTCAAAGTTGACATTCCAACACAACAAGCTAATTTGATTGAGGGTTGAGAAGGTGTTGAAAGGCATGTTTCGACCCAGGACGGCTCACATTTCTTCGAGGGTGGTGAGGGTGGAGATGGAGTCGGGAATTGACCCTGTGAAGTTGTTGCCGCTGAGATCTCTGAGCCGCAACACAAGCACGGAAGAAGGTGGCACAAATTGGGAACACATGCGCAATGTTGACTTGTCTCAACCAACTCGCCTCTACTGCAGCCAGATCGGCTTGGCTCGACCCAGCCAGTGCCCCGTTCTCTAGAATTACTCCAAAATCAGCACAAGAACTCCAGTCTCAGGTTGGGCTGGGCTGCTCAACTCGACCCAAGGTTCACTCAGCTCGAGTTGAGACGAGTAGACTGAAATCGCCTCATTCTCTTGTGGATTTGGGTACGAGATCGGGAAAATTGGAAGGTGTGGGGAGGCTTACATCTGTGCACAGCTGACGTTCCAGTGTGAGAGGTCTGGTAAAAGGCCCGTGAATCCATTTCCTGCCAAGTTACTGCACAGTGCACGAGCAGAGATTGAAAGTACAAGGAGCATGAGTAAAGCATGAACAGAAACGTGTCGCCCTGACACACAAAGTACTACCAGTGCATATACTGTAAGAAGCGAATGCGCAAGGTGCACTGCTTACAGTGTAGAAAGAGAAGGCGAGGTATTGAGTGTGTATGGAAGGCCCCCTGAAAGGACGTTGTTGGCTACGTTCCTGTGTTGGGGGGAAGGGGAAATGCAGGGAAGGAGCGGTTTTATTCAGGTGCTAGGAAATGGGATGGGAGTTAAAGATTGTGTGGATGCAGCGATTTTCTAGAAGCAAACAGTGGGCGGAGCATTATCCTTGTCTGGAACGGAGCTGGCACAGTAACATGTGACAGAAGCTCGTCAAAATACTAGTATTCATAATCAGATGCACATTCGCATATTAGGCAGGGGTCAAAGCTGCGGCAAGGGGCTGATAGAACAAAAGGACTCGGAAACAGGGGCTTACAGTAAGTCCAGCATAGAGAGTTGAAACAGGCCGGATGGGATAGTTCCACGAAAATTGTTGTCATTTAATTTACTGGGCAATATTGTCAAGGGTATCAAAATGTTTAGACTCGTCTCAGAAGAAAATGGCTACAGCATGGGCGAATTGCTAAAGGCTCCTCCGCAACACCGGCTCTGCTTGGCAGTTCTTCAAGGGTATTTCCCACCCCTTTCACATCCCAACTGGTGCACCCCCAACCGCTCATGCTTGTGCTGGCTAAGGCAGTGGCACCACTCACATGCCGTGCAGGTTGACAAGTTTTGACAAATCGTTGGGGATTGTCCCAGTGAAGCTGTTGTTGTGTAATCCCCTGCCATAGCCATTCCAAATACCACATTAGTCGTTTCAAGGGCACTACCGAACGAAATATGTTCACAAATTTGAAGAAGATGGCAGCATTTGTTCCATCCGTGCAACCTGCCTTTGTTCAAGGCCACGAGTACGGGCCTTACAAGTATTTTAGGCTCTCGAGCTGTAGAATACAACAGGGGAAGGTTCCAGTGAAGTGGTTGTCGTTCACAAACCTGAAGCAGGACAGATTACATATGGTAGGAGATAATGAGCACCTATGCATGCAGAAGAGAATATGCAAAAGCATATTTCCAGACGCTCACGTACAACCCAACGCGCACGTTCCTAGGTCGGGCTGGCCTAGCCTGGCCCGACTGAATGCCAGTAAACACGAAGTTAGACGAGGTGGTCATCAGCATTTTAGGTTTCAACGAGCATGTGCATGCGACTATGCAGAGGAATTATCAAGGCACTCTGCCCACTCCTCCCCCCCTTTTTCAACTCAGGTAACTGAGGCTCAATACCTTATTGAAAAGGTTGTCATCAAGATCTTATTGCCCTTGTTTAGGTCAGGCAACAGGGGCCGCAAAGTGGCCCGGACTGGCGTGTCTCAACCACAGAATATGGGGGGCTACAACTGGGACCGCCTCTGGCCCAACAGCCAACAGTGGGAAAAAGTCCACTTGGCCATGCTCATGTGACATGTCTATACTGAACCTACAAAAAGAGATAAAGAGACCAGCTAATCCAAGAGGGGCTCAATATCATTCAGGCGCCCTTTATAGTGGGGCAATCGCAACCCTAGCTGTTGCTCTCTCCCACAGAGGTAGGTGCGAATGAATAGAATGTACTCACAGCGATTCAAGGCCCTTGATTGCTGTTAGAGATGCTGGAAACACACCAGAGAAGCTGTTGGCATAGAGGTATCTGCAAAGCCATTTAGAATTCAACGAAGTGGTTCAGATGTTGCAGGCAGGAAAGGTTACAGAAAGGCGAGGGAGATCAATGTAGGGGCAAATGGCAGGAAGATGAGGAAGGGGAAGGGGGGGGAGAGAATACTCACATGTCTGTGAGCCATCTCATCTGAGCCACCACGTCAAGGCCTGAGCTGAGATGGTTGAGTTCCATGTTTCTGACAAGTTGTGCAGACATAGACACACACGTTAGAGGAGACGAGGAGAAGGCTGGGAACGCAGTAACTTGGTAAGAAAAGGCACAGAACAATTAGACATGGCCAACGGAGCGGGTCTTTTGGCTCTCCTCGTTTGCAGCACTTGTTGGGGACGACAACACCTGGCTAAGTCGAGCCGAGTTTTGCACGCGGGATAGAAAACAAACCGCTAAAAAGCTCGCTCGCCCGTTCTTATTAAAAACTTGTGCAAAATGGCGTCTTTGAGTTGGGCGGGCACAGACCCAAAACAATTCTCCGATTTTTACTTGGCTCGCCTCTCAACAAGGCCGATACATAGTAGAAACGAGTCGAGTGGAACTCGTCTACTCACCTTTTTACCATGTCTGGCAAGTAGCTTTTGATGCTATGAAGCAAATGCTGTGCTTCAGTCACCCCCTTAGCTAGTAGTACCTTCAATTCGAGCAATGGGTACAGAACGAACCGAAGGGACGGACCTCAGTGTGGGGGGAGACGTACAGAGAACTCATGCCAGTAAGCCGGGTGAATGTCTTAGGGATGCCTCCTGTGAACTGACTGTCGGTTAGTTGACTGCAGCCAGGGCAGCCCAAGAGGAAACATTGAACAGGGCGGTGGAGTGGGAACGGACCGGCAAGGAGTGGGGTTATGCAGAAAGGGGAGACCAAGAGGGCAATAGGACTGGAGGTTCAAAGACGAGTGTGTAAGTAATGGGCAATGGGTCTCACAGTTCAATGAGGCTGGGCATTCCAGGTGTGGTGGGATGGGTCCACTGAAAGAATTGGATCCAAGCAATCTGAAAAGGCAGGCAAGACAGGTGTGGCAACGACTCATTTCAGCATTCACTGCGACCAGAGGTCACATGCACAGAAAGGTGTCATTAACTGTATAAGGAAGACCGTTGGAGCAAGTTGTGTGGGGGGAGTTGGCGGGGAGAGAGAGAGAGAGAGGAAGGCCTTAGCACTCAGCCCTCTTCCTCTTCCCTCTGCCCTCTTCCTCTGAGCCTATTTAAGGCCCCTCTGTGCCTTCTCTGCCTCATTATTTCGTGTGTGTTTCATTTTCGGCGGATGAGAGAGCGAGAGAGAGGAAGGCCTTAGCACTCAGCCCTCTTCCTCTTCCCTCTGCCCTCTTCCTCTGAGCCTATTTAAGGCCCCTCTGTGCCTTCTCTGCCTCATTATTTCGTGTGTGTTTCATTTTCGGCGGATGAGAGAGCGAGAGAGAGGAAGGCCTTAGCACTCAGCCCTCTTCCTCTTCCCTCTGCCCTCTTCCTCTGAGCCTATTTAAGGCCCCTCTGTGCCTTCTCTGCCTCATTATTTCGTGTGTGTTTCATTTTCGGCGGATGAGAGAGCGAGAGAGAGGAAGGCCTTAGCACTCAGCCCTCTTCCTCTTCCCTCTGCCCTCTTCCTCTGAGCCTATTTAAGGCCCCTCTGTGCCTTCTCTGCCTCATTATTTCGTGTGTGTTTCATTTTCGGCGGATGAGAGAGCGAGAGAGAGGAAGGCCTTAGCACTCAGCCCTCTTCCTCTTCCCTCTGCCCTCTTCCTCTGAGCCTATTTAAGGCCCCTCTGTGCCTTCTCTGCCTCATTATTTCGTGTGTGTTTCATTTTCGGCCTTCGGCCGCGCGCTCCTGGTGGCAAGACACAACGCGAAGGATCATCTTCTAAAGGAGTACACACACACATCTCCAGCACGGGAGCAAGGAAACAACAAGAGGAGCGGCATGCAGTTCTACACGAGGCGGAAGCCTACATCGTGTACGGCTCCGCCCCCTCCACCTCAAGCATCGAGCGCATGCACGCCGACACCGCAAGGAGGAGCTGCGCCGACGAGTGAAGCGTGTCTACCGGGGTCCCAACGCGAGCAGCCCCCACAAGATCCACCACGTGGCGGGGGAAGGTACGCGCCAAGGGCGCTACCCCGGCGGGCGCTTCCGACACGGGTGCCAAAGGCGACTCGAGAGATTCTGCCAAAAACACGCAGGATCCTCGGGACCCTGGAGCGTAACTGCTCGGAAAGTTACGCGTGGCCCCACACACCGCCAGTTGCATGTTCGCCACCACCTCGCACGCCTCCGCCAGATTCAGAATCCGGCACATGGTCAGCATGGGGTCTCTCCCCGCGTGAGTGGGGGGAGGTGCAGTCGGAGCTTCGCGCGGAAACGCCGACGGCCAGCCAGGTGTCCGGCCAACAGAGAAGTGCTGCGCGGAGAAGCCCGGGACCTGACGAGGGGTGCGAAACTGAGCCCTCCCCTCCCGCGCGGGCGGATATTCGCGCAGCGTCGGCGCGCGCAGAGGAGCCACCTGGCCAGGGTCCGAGGCGAGGGGAGGACCGTTGGTCACAGCAATGTGTACGTGAGTCTCCTCCCCACTCGCCCGCGCCTGCCGCACCACTTCCGCAAACGCATTCGTGGCCCGATCGAGGGCAGGATCCTGCCCGCGACCATTACCGCCACGCCCACCGCCATTCCGCCGGCCCCGTCGGCCTCTGGAACCAGCCGAGTGCGGACGCGGGGGGGACTGCTCGCGGCGACCCGAATCCCAGCGACGCCCAGGCGACCCCCTCCCCCGCGTCGCCGGAGATGGCCGCGGAGAGCGTTGCGCGGGGGATCGCGCTCGGGGTGAGCGCTGGCCTGCCCGACCACGAGGGGATTGGTGGCGAGGAGAGCGATGGCCTGCAGGGGACAGCTGATCGCCAGCGCCGTCCCGGTGATTTTCGCGGCGGCGAGGAGATTGCTGCCGCGGCTGCAGACGTGGCGGCGAACGCCCGCGCTCCTGACGCGGCTGACCAGCAGGTCGGTTTGATGCAATCTGAGCAGGGACCCACGAGTACTCCGTCGAATGGGGCTGAGGAACACGTCGAAGAGGAAGAGACAGCCCGCGCTCCAGGCGGGGGACAGGCTCAGACGCGGAGGGGCGCGCAGCAGCATGAGGACGAGGAGCCGCAGGCCCCTGAGCTCGGGGCGGGTCAAGCTGTGCGCTCTCCGCAGTACTCTCCTGCGCGCGATCGCGACCCGCGGTTGGGTCCATTACGCCGGAGCAATTCGCCACGGACGCCAGCAGGCCGCCAAAGACGGGGCCGTGGTTCTACCTCCGCGCCTCAGCCAGCACGCTGCGACGCAGCGGCAGGCACGACGCCGCGAGGTATCCGCGTGGCTAGAGGTGGGAGATGAGGCGGACGCAGAGGAGGCGTCACAGTTCAACGAAGGGGGGCTAGTAACTTCGCGAGGGCCGCTCACCGGATCCTGCGGGGGAGGGCTGGAGATGGAGAATAGTGGAGTGATGAAAACTCCGTGGGTGACCCACTATTTAACCCTGAAAGAGAGGGGAGTTCTAGTCCCTCTCCCCAGGTGGACGAGGCAGAGCAGCACGAGGAGTTGGATCGAAACCCAACACATAGTCGAGGCGCATCTGCAATTCGAATTGGGAGGCAGAATCGAGTCGGAGGGGGAAACCGAGCCGCACAAATTGCAGAAAGCACCCCAACCCGGGCCAGTCAGCAGGGTGCAGAGGCATCCACCCGCCAACCCCTGTTCAGCGCTGGCGACCTGGCAATTCGCCAAGACCTCTTCGCCGACGTCGCAACATGGGACCTCAACCCCCTCCGCGACAGCAGGCAACCCCCGCTCGCCCGCCACCCTCCCAGCACACTTCGCGAGTCTTTCGCGGCCTGCCTCCTCACCCCGTTGTTACATTTGGCACAAGACCCTGACTCACCTGCGGGCTGGAGACTGCTCATGTTCCTCCCGCGCATCCTTTTACGCACCTCGTCAGCCAAGCGCCCTGATTGGCCGAAAGTTGGAGCCAGACTGGTCCAGTTCCGCCAGGGCCTCTGGCGTAGCCTGTATGACGAGGCAGCTGACGCAGTTTCACAGCCACCCCAGCCACGTCACGCGCCAGACACCTCTGGCATCCTGGCTAGAGCCGAGGGATTGGCCAAAAGAGGGAACTTGGCCAAATCCCTCCAATCACTCACCGCCACGCCTGTCTCAACCCCATCACGTGAAGTGCTAGCAGCGCTCTCAGCAAGGCACCCCCCAGCGCGCCAAGCCATCCCAGACTGGGTGCGTGACTACACTACAGACAGCTCCCCATCCATCTCCTCTCGCCACTTCAGACACATCCTCGCCAAGTGCCCAAACGGTGTGGGCGCCGGTCCCTCAGGCACCACTTTCGAACACCTAAGGGATGCGGCCTTAGGGAGCGCAGACATATTCAGGCAGCTGCATGCCCTCACGAACACCGCGCTGGCGGGAAAACTGAACACTGAGGCGGCCGAGCTCCTAACAGCTTCACGGCTCCTTGCTTTCTCAAAGCCGCAGGGGGGTACTCGGCCAATCGCGGTAGGCGAATGCCTTTTACGGCTCGTCGCCAAAGCAGCTCTATTTCTGGCGGCGGAGAAGGCGCGGGACCACTTCGCGCCGCTGCAATTCGGCGTGGCCATCGCCGGAGGCATCGAAGCCGCAGTACACACAGCGAGAACCTACCTGGAAGAGAACGAAGGGGCAGTGGCGCTGCAAATTGACCTGGCGAATGCATTCAATGCGGTGGAGCGGGCGGCGGTGTTTGAGGGCCTTAAGGGGAACGCCCTGGAATCCCTGGTGCCCCTGGTGCGACTGTCCTACGGGAGCCCCTCGGCGCTTCACCTCGACCATGCGTTCCGAGCTTCCCCACTGCAGTCCGCGCGAGGCGTTCGCCAAGGGGATCCGCTGGGACCCCTTCTCTTCGCTGCGAGCATTCACCCGTGCCTGGCCGCCACGGCGGAGGCGCACCCAGACGTCGTCATTCTCGCATACGCGGACGACATCACCATCCTGGGAGAAGCAGTGGCGTGCACAGAGGCGTTCACCTATCTCACCAGTGCCCTGCACTCCCTGGGCCTGGAGCACAACCCCGAGAAATGCGTGGCGCGGTCGGCTGCTCACGTAGAGGCCGCCTCCCTGCCACGGCACGTGCCTTACTCCGCGGGCGGAATCCGCGTCTTGGGAAGCCCAATCGGCCCACAACCAGGATGCGCCTTTCAGCAGCCGCAGAGCCCCTTCCGCTCCTGTCCCAAATGGACCCGCAGCTGTGCCTGCTGTTCCTCACTCGGTGCGTGAGCCGCCGCGCCTCTTACCTCGTCAGAACCACGCCTTTAAAAGTGCTGCCGGAGGAGTCTTGGTCGGCTTGGGGGGGACAGCTGCTGCACACCTACTTGACGGCCGCACACTCTGCGGTACCACGGGAGGAGTCGGAGCGGGGGAGAGTCTGGCGGCAAGCAGCCCTGCCCGTGACGCTGGGAGGCCTCGGCATCACCAACCCAGCGACGGAAGGGGCGTTCGCGTACCTGGCTTCGGTCATCTCCTCCGCCCATCTGCTGCGCTCCTTCGGCGACGCGGTGCACCCCGCTGTCGCCGATTTGCTGCTGCTGATGGATGCAGATGGGGACTCACCCTCGGCCCTTCCAAGGCGCCTCGCAGCGGCTGAAGCGGCGCTGCCCCCAGACGGATTAGAGGCACTTCAGGTCGGCCGGCGCGACCCCGAGGGGCCGAAGCTGCAGCAGGCTCTGTCGCTGGCCGTCCACACCGCCCGGTACATCGAGCTGCTCGATGACTCGCGGGAGATGTCGCTGAACCCGCTCTTCGGCCACACCCAGCGCCTCCAGTCTCTTCTCGGCCCCGGAGCAGGAGATTGGCTGCTCGCCCTTCCCCTGATCCCGGCCCTTCGCCTGGGCCCCTCTCAGCACTCCACCGCGGCCTCCTTCCGCCTAGGCCTCCCCCTTCCTGTCCCGCGGCGTTGCGATTGCCGCTACCGCACGACCTTCCCTGACCACAGGCTCCCCAACCACCTCATGAGGTGCGAAAAAGGAAGAGGGAGGATCTCTACTCACCATGCTCTCCGTGACGAGTGTGCGAAGATTGCAGCCGAGGCGGGCTTCACGGTGCACAAGGAATCTACAGTGTACTCACCGGTCGAAAACCTGAAAGCGGATGTTTGCATCCGCCATCCCGACACCGGGGAGGTACACATGTGCGACATCACCGTGAAGGACCCGGTCTCGTACCAGGATGAGTTTGCGCGGAAGGCGCCAGGGTGGGCTGCACGGATGCAAGCCGCGAGGAACGACTGGGTGGGCTTCCACGCCATGGCGGTCGAGACGTACGGCTACCCCTCCCCTGGAGTGCACGCCTTCCTCCGCAGCTGCGCCGAGCTTGCAGGCAAGCGGCGGTTCAACGCAGCTCCAAAGTCCAGGGAGGTGGCCAAGCTCCTCACAGAGTACAGGCAGCGCTGGAGTGTGACACTGCAGCGGGCCCAGGCCAACGCCTTGCGTGACAAGACCCACGAGCCAATAGCCGCGGACGAGCTTGGCCTGCAGGGCCTGTTCGAGCCGCTGGGCGAGGAGCAGCTGTACCAGCTGATTGAAGACCCCACCGGCCAGAAGGGCCGTGGGGTGGGGGATTTTGGAGGGGATTGAGGTTGGTGTGGTGTGAATTTGTGTTTAGTTTAGTTAGCTTTGCCTTGTTGAGTTCTGATTTGTTGCCGAGTCTTGCCTGTTCATTGCTGCTACTAATACGAAGGACCGTTCGAGGGTGGGGGGAGAGGGGGGAGCGTAGGGGGAGGGGCATGCTGGTATGGGTGGAACGAGCAGATGCGTGGGGGCTTGTGTCCGAATCACATAGAACACTGCTATCCGGTTACAATCGGAATCTTCCGTGAGGGTGCAATATTCTTCCATTCAAAAAAGGAAACTGACTGATGGTATACAGGCAGAGGAAGTCAAGGGACGAGCGACTAGATCGCTTTTACTAGCTCAAAGGAGGGGCGACAGAGGACAGGAAGTCACACAAACATGGTTCAGCAAGGGATGCACAAAAGGATGAGATGGACAGGAGCTGATTTACGACATGTGGAGAAAGATGAGGCTAGTGTCAAGGCGAGGGTGGGGCATTTGAGCTGGAAAGAAGATTCACATACATTGATTGAATGTTGGTTCCAAATGCTGGAGGCGAACCAGAAAGAGAGTTTTGTGAGAGGTCTCTGCAAATGCACGTGGAAAAACGATTAATGGTGCAACCACTGAGGAAGAGACAACAGAAACAGGCAGGGACAGAATCAGCTTCAGACAATGGGAAGCTGGGTGCACGAAGGACACTCACATATAAGATAGGGCTGTTAGGGCTGAAAATGTTGTCGGAATGGATCCTTCGAGGCGGTTGTTTCCTAAATGTCTGAAGGGAAACAAGGCACAAGAAGGAAATAAAACAATCCTGGCATGGTGTTAGGATGCACGCAAGTGATAGGATGGGCGTTGGCATGGTGCAGTGGCAAGAATGTTGTGCTGCTAATAGAAGCACGGCAGCGGGCCAGCACGACACCATGATAGATATGTTGCATGGCAGGAAGGTACTGCAAGCAGTGACTCACAGCTCCTCCAGATTGACGAGCGTGGACCAGCTTTTTGACAGGTAGCCCTCCAGGTTGTTTCCTCTGATGGATCTGCAGAGCATGGGAGCAGGCAACGGATGGAAACCTGCGTTTCAGTTGACAGGGGTCATGGATTGGTGGTGAGTGCCTACTCGAGAGGGCAATGCAGCAAGGTTAGAGTTGATGTAATGCAGGGCAACATGTGTAAAATTCATATCCTTATTACGGAAGCGTGAAAACCGGACAATCCTGATTGAGAAAGAACTCCACTCGACCGTGCTTGCTGCACTTCCGCACCCGCTGAACTCACAGGCTGGTGAGTGCTGTGAGCTCAGAGATGTCGTCCTTCAACAGCCCCTGCCGACGTTCATCGTCCGTGTTTGCGTTGCTGCCCACAGGGCAACACCGGCAAGATTCTCATCAATGAGACAAAGTGATGTCAATAGAGCCTTATGGAGGATGAGGTGAACGAGAGTAAATTAGGAGGATCTCACAGGTATTGAAGGTTGGAGAGGTGAGTGACCCAATCAGGGAACTCCAAGGCACGAAGGTAGGATAGGTCCCTGCATGAAGGGGTTGGTAAGAGCATGAAACATAGCAAATTGCATAGAGCTGCAGTCACGTTGAGGATTAGACAGATAAACTCGTGAAAATGAACAATAGTGCTTTGCCTGTTCAAACATGGGACTTGAGTGCAGCTTACAGTGCAGTGAGGGCTGTCAAATATCGAATCTCTCTGGGTATCTCCCCTGTGGCGTTGGTAAGCGAAATAATTTTCCTGTATTCATGCACAAGTGATCAGCGAGAGACAGTCACTGTCAATTAGAATAGACAATGGCATGAATATTAGAAATAGAAACAGGATGTAAACGAAACATGTTTGTGCACCGTACTGATCCTTACAGCTGTTGAAGGTCTTTCAGGTGAGAAAGAATGTGCAGAGAGGACAAGTCCCCTGTGAATGCAGCCAAGTACTCTAGACCCCTGGTGGTGGGAGGGCAGTGCGGCATGTGAGAGGCCACGGTTGTTGTACAATAGGAGCATGTGACTTCTGCATGGGTTGCTGGAGTGATGTATGTGACATGCATGGCTGAAAGACAATGCGGTGCCAACTGCAGGTAGGGTGACCTTGTTTGCAGGGTGAACATGGTTTGCATGGCCAACACAGTTTGCAGGGCGATGCTTGCAGCGCCAACTGTTTGCAGGTCGTACAGTGTTTGCAGGTTGGTGAGGGAGGAGAGCCAAGCCAGTCCGTCCAGAGTACCAGTCAGCTTGCTCCCATCCAACCCAATCGTTCTGGGTGCACACGTGTCATGCAAACAGCAATAGAACACATGCAGGGTACACATGGCACATTCAGTGAGCATAGGTTACTCATGCCACGGGACAATGAAATTCATCGTGGGCATGAGTACGGCAGAATGGTTGTGAATGGTGTGAGGAAAGGGAGGAGACATTAATAACGAATCACTTGAAGAAGTCGTGGAAGAAAAAGTGGAGATCCCTTCAGTTCTGAAAAAGATCAAGATTGAATGGGGGTCAGGGGGTCCAGAGGAGTGAATGAGGGCGGTGGATGTGGATGGGGCATATTGGATGAACCAGCACTCAACATCTTTGGTTAGGAAGCATGAGCGGCACGTACAGGTAGGTGAGGCTGGTGAGAGTGGCGAGGGATGGAATGGGCCCCACCAAATCAATGTAGGTCAGATCGCTTTGGGGATGGGAGGAGGAAGAACAACGGAGAAGCCAACGGCAAGATAGGATTGACGCTTGAGATGTATGGCCTAGTAATGGCCACAGTAAAAGAGTAGGACAAGATGATTACTTGTGGTGTGTGAAATTCGAGGGATGAGATAGAAGGACTGAGCATGACGACGTTGGGGCGGGGCAGGGATGAGGCTTATGATGGAAGAGAGTGGAAGCACAAGAGCATGAATACGTTGGGCATGGCAAAGGACGGTAAGACATGGTGCATGCACGATGGATGGAGCGGAGGGAGAGGGGAGGTGGGTGGTGACGGACAGGTATTGCAGAGTGGCGAGACTAGAGACGGAGGCGGGTATGGCGCCACTGGGGGGAGGATCCGATTCAGGGAATAGCTTTGAATCCCTGCCAGGACAAACATGCATGCAATATCCAGTACATTCGATCCCACCACCCCACCTCCCCCACCCCATCCCCTTCCCCTCCAGAATCCGACTTCCTCCATATCTCCCTCGCACAATCGAAAAGCCAGCCCATTCGAAAATAGTACAGGATTATTGCACGTGCAGAAGCACATAGGAGGGCGACAAGAGTACGGACGGGCGATAATGGGGCAACGGAGGGGGGAGCAATGAAGGCAATAAAGGGAAAACAGAGCACCGTGCAGCAATTAGGGCAACGAGCGCAGTGAGGGCAGGGAGGGCAGTGAGGGCAGTGAGGGCAACGAGGGCAGTGAGGGCAGTGAGGGCAGTGAGGGCAGTGAGGGCAGTGAGGGCAGTGAGGGCAGTGAGGGCAGTGAGGGCAGTGAGGGGCGGCAAGGAGACGCACAGGGCGGTGACGAGCCCCTTGGGGCTGCAGGTGACGCCAGTCCATGCAGAGCACGCAGTGGTGGCGTTGCTGTTGCCCGCCCACATGCCCCACGCCTCCTTCAGCTGCACCAGCGCCTTCACTGCCGGCACAGGGGGAAGGGAGGTAAAAGGATATGACTCACGGAAAGGCGGCGCCTTCACTGCCAGTGATAGCGGAGAAAAAGGAACAAAATTGAATCTCCCAGCGCCCATGCGCGACGTCTGACACTGGAATATGAGTTGGAACTCCGTGTGAAGTCTGACGGCAGGCTTGGACTTCACGCCGTATGCTTCAAAATCTCTACTCCGTGAGAACCGGAGCTGTTCCGTTGGGAGGGAGGATGTTTCTAGGCTGGGAGCCGCACCAACTCACATTGCGAGCCTTCCAAGACGACAGGCCTCGCAGCGGCGCTCGATCCGGCGGCTGTGGTGGCGGCGTCGAGCTTTAAGAGGGAGCGTCGGGCGCGATTAGGTCGAGGGAGGCGAGAAAGGAGGGGCTGTTTGCGCACACGCGCCGGCGGGTCATCTCGGCGCGGAGGCAGTGCCGCGCGGTTGGCGCTGGAAACGGAGCAGGCCGTGACAGCAGGGAGCGCGAGGGCCGCGAGGAGGAGGAGAGTTGTGGCATTTGCATAGAGCGGCCACACAGGCTTAGGAGAACGAGGCATGGTTCTGCGCATAATTCGGAAGTGTACTTTGCCGGCGTATGAGCAGGAAAACAACGGACAGATTTTGAAACTAAGACTGGTGAAAAGTCGGCTGCAGCTCGAGCTACAGCTGATCCTTTTGCAGTAGGGTGTTGGTTGGTGGTGGTGGGTGGTTGTCCCACGATGACTGTCCAGAATGACGACGGAAGTGTACACCTAAAGGCGTGGTGCGTTTGCGTGACAATGTAAAACGTGAAAATGTAAAATTTAGAATGTTGTACTCATCTCAAAATTAGAATGCTCTAACAAATTTTCGAATTCCAAGCAAACTTAGAAACTTTCAAGACGCCCATTCGGGGTGTACTCGAATTTCTAATATGCGACATCTAGCGGCAATCAAGACAACTCCTAGGTGGACAATCGCCACATCTTTCCATTAACTCGATAATCAGGGGACGATCGATCGCGCCGCTAACCAATGAAACGTCGGGATTTCGTAATATTGTTTTTTTGTACCGTGGATACGAGGAGCTGTTCCTCTGCCCTGTCTATAAACACGCTGCACCTATTATCCCATTGCTGGCACGGTATGCCGAGACCGAGGAAAGAAACATATTTGTATCAGAGAACTGTGACAACCAACTTCAAAGATGGGCTGGTCCAACCTCTCGCATACCTGACACGTTGTTTATGGGTGGACCGCCCATGTTTCCCTACTTGGCCCAAGCGTATATCCACCATGTCAGCGCCATGTGTTCAAGGTTGTCAGTTGGGGCTTAGGGTACATTCTTGTGGTGACGCTGTCAAACTTATATGCTATAGTCTGTGTAGGCTGTAGTGGGGTAGTTGATATAGGGTACAACACTTCTAGGTTTCCTACTTGTACCCAACTGCTTGCTAGTTCAATCATTCCGTCGTTCTCATCCTGACATGGTATTCTGAGCAGGTTCTCTCCGTGGGAACGTTTTTTTTAGGGCCCACCACTGAAACTGTCTTACCTGCCCGAAGCGCGCTATCGCGCCTGCCTCTCCTGCGCCGTCGCGCGCCCTGCCCTGCTGTCGCGCTAGTCGCGACCCTGCCTGAGCCGCCCGTGGCGGCCCTGCCTTGTCGCCGCTCGTCGCGACCTAATCCGCCGCCCGTCGCGGCCCTCCTTTGCCGCCCGTCGCGGCCCTGCCTTGCCGCCCGTCGCGGCCCTCTCCTGCCGCCCTACGTCGCGGCCCTGCCCTGCCACCCCAAGTCGCGGCCCCTGACCTGCAGCCACCGTCGCGGCCCCGCTGTTGCGCCCCGCTCTGCAGCCGCCGTCGCACCTGCAGCACCTGTCGCGGCCCTGCCCTGCCGCTGACGACCTGCAGCCGCCGTCGCGGCCTCTTCGTCGTGGCCTCGCCGTCGCGGCCCTGCCCTGCAGCCGCCCCAGTCGCGGCCCTGCTCTACCGCCGCCCAGTCGCGGCCCTGCCCTGCTGCCGCCCCAGTCGCGGCCCTGACCTAATCGCTAGCTGCAGCCCTGCCCTGCACCCGCCCCTGGTAAGCACCCGCGCCACCCAGCCGAGCCGCGTCGCTCAACCGAGCCGCGCCGCCCTGCCGAGCCGCGCCGCCCAGCCGAGCTGCACCGCCCAGCCGAGCCGCGCCGCCCAGACGAGCCACGCCGCCCAGCCGAGCCGAGCCGCCCAGTCTAGCCGCGCCGCCCTACCGAGCCGCGCCGCCCTACTGAGCCGCACTGCCCTGCCCCTGGTGCTACTACTGCTACCGCTGCTTCTGCTGCTACTGCTGCTTCTGCTGCTACTGCTGCTTCTGCTGCTACTGCTGCTTCTGCCGCTATGGCTAGTCCTACTGTTCTTACCTTTGATGCTGAGGGTCGTGCTGTTGACTTCGAGGTTTGGGTAGACGACCTACAGCTGTTTCTCCAGTGCGACTCCAAGGACGGAGTCTCCCTGTTCGATCACACGTCCGGTGTCTCTCCTGCACCTGCTGCCACTGCTGACAGTACGGTTCGCTCGCAGTGGACTACTCGTGACGCTGTTGCTCGTCTTGCTGTTCGTAGTCACATGCCGTCTGCTGAGCGCGCGCACTTTGGCCAGTACAAGACTGCAAAGTCTTTGTATGACGCTGTTGTCGCGAGCTACTCCTCCCCTGCCACTGCTGCTCTCAGCCGCCTCATGCTGCCGTACCTGTTCCCTGACCTTGCTGCCTTTGCCACAGTCGCTGACCTCATTACTCACCTCCGCACTAGTGACACCCGCTACCGCGCTGCGCTTCCCACTGAGTTCTGTGCCAAGAACCCCCCCCCCATGTACATCACTCTCTACTACCTAGTCACCCGTCTCCCTGACTCTCTCTCTTCAGTCAGGGACCACTTTCTCTCCCTTTGCCCCACTGAGCTCACCGTCGACCTGCTTGAGGAGCGCCTTACAGCAGCAGAGAAGAGTATTGTTGCTGTAGGTGCTTCTCGCGGCGACCCTCGCGCCCCTTTCTTTGAGGGGTGCTCCCCCGTCCCCCTTCTCCCCTCTGTTTCTTCTGCTGCTGCTGTCGACCTCGTTGGCACTGAGGAGGTCGGGGCTGCGTCTGCTCCTAGTGGGAGGCGCCGCAACAGCAAGGGCAAGGGAGGCAGGGGTGGTGGAGGGGACGGAGGGGGCGGCGGTGGAGGCGGTGGAGGGGGCGGAGGGGGTGGTGGGGGTGGTGGCGGGAGTGGGGGCGGCAGTGGAGGTGGTGGAGGCAGCGGCAGCGGCGGTGGAGGTGGAGGCGGTGGTGGTGCTGGCCGAGGAGGTACCGCACAGCGTGGAGGCTTTGGCGGTAGCCAGCGCCAGCAGCAGCCGCGTTCTCGTGAGACCCTTTCGCCCCTGCAGCTTCGTGAGTGGTACGCTGGGCGTGGGAGGGCTGGGGGTGTTGGTCCCTGCACTTACGTTATTCGCACAGGCGGGCGCCGTGGAGAGACGTGCGGACTGCCGCACACTTCGCAGCGCTGCTTCGGTCACCTGAGTGACGCCTGGCGTGCGCAGTTTCCTGACGGCGCTGAGCTCCCCCGCTGGGGTGATTTGCTGAAGCAGAATGTTGCTATCTTTGATCTTGATTTCGATGCTATCCTTGCTGCCATGTATGCTGTGACTGATAGTGCTGAGGGTGACTGTTACCTGTGTGTTCCGCCCGACCCGGGCATTGAGGCTGCTGCTCTAGGTGCTAGTGAGTCTGCTGCTCCAGGTGCTAGTGAGTCTATTGCTACAGGTGCTAGTGAGTCTGCTGCTCCAGGTGCTGGTGAGCCTGCTCTCTCTGGTACTGCACCTACTGAGGCCTTGCACACCTTCACACTTGACTCAGGTGCTTCGCGCTCCTTCTTTCGCGACAGCACCACACTCACGCCGCTCAGTCGGCCGGTTGCAGTCTCCCTGGCTGACCCCTCTGGGGGCCCAGTCCTTGCGCACTCCTCCACGGTTCTACCGTGTCCTGCGGCCCCGTCGAGCTTACTGTCGGGACTCCACCTCCCCTCGTTCTCTACGAACTTGGTGAGTGGAGCTGACCTCCAGGACGTGTGGGTTGACCAGTTCACCCCGGAAGGTCAGCGTGTGACCCACTGTACTTGCTCTCGGACGGGCCGCCACCTGGCCAGGTTCACCCGTCGGCCTGGGTCGAGCCTCTACACACTGACTACTGTGTGTCCCCCTGTTGCTGCGTCTGGTCAGGTAGCCGCGTCTGGTCAGGTGTTTGCTGCTGCGTCCAGGTCTAGTCCGGTGTCTGCCCCCTGCTCGTGTCGTCCTCTGTCACACGAGACTCTTCTTTGGCACCACCACCTTGGTCACCCCTCCCTGCCTCGTCTCCGAGGTATGGCCTTCCGTGTCCTTGTCTCAGGTCTCCCCCCGTCCCTCCCTCCCCTTCCTCCGGGGACCGCCCCTACCTGTGTTCCTTGTGTTGAGGGCCGGCAGCGCGCCGCTCCTCACTCCTCTGAGTTTCCTCCGACAGAGGCTCCTCTGCAGACTCTCCACATGGACGTGTGGGGCCCAGCCCGCGTCCGTGGACAGGGTCACGAGCGTTACTTCCTGCTGGTCGTTGACGACTACTCACGCTACACCACAGTCTTCCCCTTGCGCCGCAAGGGTGAGGTCACTGAGGTGTTGATCGACTGGATCCGCGCTGCTCGTCTCCAGCTCAGAGAGAGTTTCGGCTCGGACTTTCCTGTTCTGTGTCTGCACTCAGACAGAGGTGGTGAGTTTTCCTTCGACCTTCTGAGGGCTTTCTGTCGTGCGGAGGGCATCCGCCAGACGTTCACGCTTCCGGCCTCCCCACAGAAAAATGGGATTGCTGAGCGCCGCATTGGCATGGTCATGGACGTCGCTCGCACGTCCATGATCCATGCGGCGGCTCCCCATTTTCTGTGGCCGTTCGCTGTTCAGTACGCTGCGCATCAGATCAACCTTCAGCCTCGTGTCTCCTTGCCGGAGACCACACCTACTCTGCGGTGGACGGGGAAGGTTGGTGATGCGTCTGTGTACCGTGTCTGGGGATCTCGAGCTTTTGTCCGCGATACTTCCGCGGACAAGCTGTCCTCTCGTGCTGTTCCCTGCGTTTTTCTTGGCTTCCCCCCTGACGCGCCTGGGTGGCAGTTTTACCACCCCACCTCGCGCCGTGTTCTGTCCTCTCAGGACGTCACGTTTGACGAGTCGGTCTCTTACTACCGTCTCTTTCCCTACCACACTGCCCCTCTCCCCCCCCCCCCCGCCGCTCTTCCTAGCACCAGGTACTCCTCCGGTAGACCCCCTCCCCCCTCAGGGTCCTGCCCCTTCAGGTGTGTCCCAGGTAGACCCTGTCGAGCCGGTCGAGGTAGCTGTTGACTCTGGTGCTGCTAGGGGTGCTGAGCCTGCGGGTGCGGGGCCTGGGGGTGCTGAGCCTGGGGTTACTGAGTCTGGGGGTGCGGAGCCTGGGGGTGCTGAGCCTGGGGGTGCTGAGTCTGGGGGTGCTGAGCCTGAGCGTGCTGTGTCTGGAGGTCCTTCGGGTGTCTCGTCACGGCGGGAGCCCCTCTCTCCACAGCAGCTTCG